AATGTCAAGCAGCACGCTTTGCTTCTGCCAACCACAACACATAACCCACCCACCCACATCTCGTCTCGCAGATATGCCGTCCGATAGATGGCACCACTAGTCTTCAAAAATGTATCGTCACTGTTCGCAGGGTGCCCTGCATCCGTGCGCCAAATCCATAGGCCGGCGCACGGATGCATGGCACCCAGCGAACAGTGACGATACATTTTTGAAGACTAGTGGTGCCATCTATCGGACGGCATATCTGCGAGACGAGATGTGGGTGGGTGGGTTATGTGTTGTGGTTGGCAGAAGCAAAGCGTGCTGCTTGACATTTACAGATGAGTGACCACATGTTCTGATAAAAAGCACTGTTGATGCAGTATCGGATTCTAAGCTGATTAGCAAGATGAAGTTCTTCGTGGCACTCTCTGCTCTCGTCTGCGTGGGTAAGTATCGGAGCATATGCAACAAAGTGCACTGATGACATGCAGATCTTTGAGTTCTCGTAGTTTCGATATAATTATCCACTTACTTAAAAAGATGTAAATGATGAATGTAAAATCTTTGCATGTCGTACGCATTAAGCTTTCCTACCGTACGCATTGTTATTAATGTCTTGGCGATTTCATTTTCACCACCTGACGTTTAGACTGCACGTCGATTGTGGATGATGTGAATATGGTGCATATGTACGTTCCACGGGTTAGCTGATAACACTCGTGCATTATTGTATCTCTAGCGGTGGCCGCTCCTTTTAGCGGTGGAATAGAGAAGCGTCTTGGCGTTCCTGTCCAAGCAGAGATTGACTGCCTTGACCGAGGATTGAACTTCTCATCGGATGCGACCGACTGCCAGGTACGCGGTTTTTGTCTTCCAACATATGAACACTGTGCTTACTCTTTATAGTGCATGAATCTTCTTTATATGAAAATGCGGCGCCATCTCGGCGGATCCGACTTCACGGCGGAAGCGACCGACGCCGCATTTCTCTGCACATGCATACGTGCACGTAGTAGTTGCATGCATATTGTCTGACCGAGGTTCAGGTGTGACTGCACGGTAAACTGCAATGACGGGAGCGACGAGGCCGGCTGTGCTCCAGCTTGCGACCCCGCCGCCTGCAGGCTACCCGACTGCAAATGCAGCAATGCCGAGATCCCAGGCGGATTTCTTGCTAACGAGATCCCACAGATGGTGCTGATTGGCTGGGACGAGACTCTGAGAGTAGAGGACTACAACCATCTTCTGCAGCAGGTAGACACAATGGCTGTGTATTAGATGTGTACATAATTTCATGATGGCAATAATGCAAATCATGATCAGTCCATGTTTCTAGCGATAGCTTTCCGTGAACGTTCGATATGATATTCTCAATCTTTTTTATTAGATCTTGAAGAAGGTTAGCCATGAGAGAAGGAGAGAGCCCAGACTCAATTCCAATGGTTGTCCAGCCGTTGCTACTTTCTTCACCAGCCATCAGTTCACTGACTACGCTGCTGTACAGAGCCTGTATTCTGAGGGACACGAATTTGCTGCTCACTCTATTTCCCAAGTAACTTAGATAAAATCAATCGCACCATTACAACGTGATCAAGATAGCTGCATTGCTAATTATTGCAACAATAATAAATAATGTTTAATAAAGATACGGACTATGAATACAAACACTTTATTGCTTTCATACCTCTATTTATCTCTCTCTCACTTTCTCTCTCTCTCTCTCTCTCTCTCTCTCTCTCTCTCTCTCTCTCTCTCTCTCTCTCTCTCTCTGATAACATTTCGGTTCTGATAATTTTAGCAAAAAGCTGCCAGCTGAACAATGGCACAGTAAGAATGAATTGTCAGCTGAGTACTCTGGCCAGAGAGTGATGTTCAACAACCTCGCTGGCGTGCCACCAACGGCAGTGAAAGGCGTGCGCTCCGCGTACCTCCAGACAAAGGGCGCTGACAACGTAATGCTGATGCAGGAAGAAGGATTTGCCTATGATTCATCCTACCCCACGGACAAGATGGACTCTCCTTACTGGCCGTACACCTTTGACTACCAGTCCAGCGCTGGCTGTGCCGTCCCACCGTGCGTGACCGAGTCCGTTCCTGGTATGTGCGAAGATTCTTCCTATGACAAATATTGTTGTATGTGTTGTGCGCATCATAGGAGTTTAGGAGCGCTATTATGAACGCGAGCAGTAAATTTCAGCTGTAAAGCGGAGCGAAGTTGACTCGCCAATATTTGTCATAGGAAGAATCTTCCTATGACAAATAGTGTCATAGGAGAGCGTATATGCGTATGTCGTATTTGTCATAGATGCAAGCAGAACATCCGAACATCCGAGGGAAACTCCCGTTAATAAAAATAACTGTAATTTTTATTTTCAAACAGGTGGTTCCTGAACGACGGCTATTACAACATGGAGGCCCTCCAAGAGTTCCTGGACGCCATTCAGGAGCAGCCAGATGTATACATGGTCACCTACAGTCAAGCTCTGGATTGGATCAAGAACCCTGTTAGGGCTGCCGACATCAGCAGCTCCGGAATGTTCGGCTGTGACTACGCCGACCGCACCCCACTCTGCGCACACCCCAACCTCTGTGGATACCTGAACGTCACTTACGCACCCAACGATGAGGAGCATCCAGGCGACAGGTTCTTCCAGACCTGCAGCGAATGCCCCGAAGTTTATCCGTGGGTGGATAACCCAGCAGGAGAATAAGCTGCTCTGTGACAACTCCAGGGAGCTTGATATAGACGACACGGACCGCCCGATCAAAGAATTCTTGACCAATCCTATATATTAGTTTGCCCTAACATTCGCAGAAGGAATCAAAACATTTCTCATTGCCTTCTGCAAGTTAATAACGCGCTTGCTTTTACGCTCAATTTGACTAGACTGTGGGAAATTTCTCTCACATTTTCTAGTACTTGTTCAATTTAGGATCGCAATATATGCGTCTGCTACAATAGTTAGTTAAACGCGATTCGTAGAATAGTGTATGTTAGGACGCTAGTTTCATGACACAGCATTACTGATAACGTCGGATATGCGTGTGTGCGTGTGTGCGTGTGTGTGTGTGTGTGTGTGTGTGTGTGTGTGTGTGTGTGTGTGTGTGTGTGTGTGTGTGTGTGTGTGTGTGTGTGTGTGTGTGTGTGTGTGTGTGTGTGTGTGTGTGTGTGTGTATATAGTGATTGACGCACTGTTTGCAATGAAATAAAAACGCCAATTTTTATTAAATGCCAACCAACGTTCATTGACGCTTCGTATAAATTCTGTGATACCAAACAAGTCATTATATGCATCACGGTCTGTCTGTCTGTCTGTCTGTCTGTCTGTCTGTCTTTCTGTCTAGCTCTCTTTCTCTTTCGCGCTCTCTCTTTCTTTCTCTCCATATATATATATATATATATATATGGAACGATTTTACGTCTATTTGTGACGACGGATTAAGGTTTGAGCACTGGAGTAGGCGAGGTACGGTCCGGCATATTAGATAGTTACCAGGCAGGGTACGTTCCGGTATACCGGACCGTACCCAGGGTACGTTCCGGAAGTACCCAGGGAGACATAGACCCTATCAGCTTAACCAGAGAGACATGATACAAGATTGCGTGACACAGCTTTGCTGTTGATCCTATGGCTATCAGCGCTGCGCGCGGATGAGACGCGCAGTTCCGCGGGATATGCGCACGCGACCGCGGGGATGTTCAAGTATATGAAGCGCTGTCCGCAGTGGAGACGTGCGCCAAAATCCAGGCCCGGCGCACGTCTCCACAGCGGTCAGCGGATGGTCTGTAGTTTTAAAAGATAACAATGAAGACTTTGTTCTAAATAAGAACTATCGGTGGCTAAATAAGAGCAACATATATACCATTGAATTTCTTTATTAGTATGTCAAAGGGCTTGTTGAGGGTCCATTATGCAGAGCTTCCAATTGAAATGGCCCATGACATTGTCAAGTGGAATTGTGTTTTTCGGAACCCCAAAGAAAATGTCTCCCTCTTACATGCACCCCTTCCCTGATCAATCACGCATTCAGGCGTAAACAATAACAGAGATAAAATTCTGTTGAGTTTGTGGCTATTGACGCGCGTGCATTGACGTACAAGACCGTTGAAAGCACAGGCACTTGGAACGTCTCAATAAAAATAAATATTCACAAAATTTTTCACAATGATTGACCGCCTGTGTGCAAAATAGGTGAACGTATGTCAAACAGATATACGGGTAATAATTAGTACTTACTGTGACATATCGGTGACTAACTGACACCACTAAATTGATAAAATGTTCCATGCACCTTAAGAAATTGTGAGAAATTACGAGGTTATCATTGCAGAACTCTCCAACACCGCCCATCCTCATGTCACAAAGCTATATGTAAACAAACACGCGTGTTGCGAGGTGCCTGCCTCCGATATCCATTTCGAGGCCCGCTAAGCCAAGCATAAAGCGCGCGGGCAAGACGTCACACACACAGCTACGTTCATTGGCTAAAACAATCGAGTAGCGCGGTTAGGGATTTTCGGAATTATTTAATTTTAAGAAAAACTTCAATGTTCAATATATGACGTACTTGTTCACTTCCGAAAGCGGGTAAAAATGCCGAATGTTTCCACTTCGATGCGAAATGCACCGGCCGGACATTTTATTATTTACGAAAAGTAAACAAGCTGGTGAAAGACAGTTGGTACAGTGACTGGTCACGTCGGTGACGCTCCATTCATGCCCATCAACGAAGAAGGCGGGGCTTATTCTGATTACGGAGATGCGAAAATGCAACAGAAGGACGTAGCGCAGTGCGCTAAACAGCGTGTTATTTTCGTATTTGTGCCAAACTCTATCGTAGGAAACCGTTCTAGCCTAGCTTTGGTGCTGTAATGGGTCCTACCTTTCAACTTATAAAAACACGGGTGCGGCGTAGGCTGTGATTGGAAGACACAAAGTGTCAATCCGCGGCGCGCCTCGGCATCATAGCCGCATCACGTCTAGATACTGGTATGCTTACGTGATCCGTGAAGATGAGGCGCTCTTGCTTGTGGCCGCAATACTGGCTTGACCCGTCTCGGTCGCACTGGACCCACCGCACTGGACTGGGCCGGGTAGGCTAGGCTGGGCCGAGCGTATTACTGAGAGCAGATCCCAGTATTTATACCACAAGCTCAGCGTGGGTAGGGAGGCCTACCTTCCCATCATGCTTCTCGAGAGACGCGTGATCGAGTCGTGTTTTATGTCACGTACATCACATGACAAGCCAGACATCACCCCAGAGGTTTCGTTTCTACAACCGGTGAAAATCACGTGATCGCTGTCATAGCCACCAGGGATGCTGTGCATCGATATGTATATATATCAGAAGCGAATAGCAAACATACAACAAACAAAACTATTTTTATTTACTTATAATAATGCGTATACGCGTACAAATATTAATAGCGTGTCTATGATCACGAACGACTTGTAAGCACAGAGAACTGATTCACGAACTATCAAAATTGGTTTATTGTCGCTAGAATATCGCAAACATTGCTTGGTGTTTGAAACTTCAGCCAATACACAGTGATTAGCGGTATGCGCACCAGTAGACGCTAACACACACACAACTAGACAGAGGGCACTCACGGAGAGTGCATACCTCCGCGAGCATGTAACATGTATGGGCTCGCCGGTGGC